GTGGCGGTTAGAAAATGCTGAGCAAGGAATATGGAGGCAGAAGGGTCAGAAGCAAGTCAGGGGCACCAAGGGGAGCACAGAAAAAGGATCAGGACACCTGGTAGGTTGATAGAGAAGCCAAACCCTCAGGCTCAGTCCCCAGATGTTGGGGTTTCTTAACTGGGTGAAGGATGCCTGCCCTCATTTTGCCCAGCCCTGCAGGAGGAGGTGAGGGGACTGAGCGAGCACCGTCAGAGCAGACAACTCTGCGTTTTTGGTTCTATGGAGGAAAGAACCCCCAGGGTCCACAGAATCCACCTGCTCCCCTTTACGGAGTTTCGGTGAAGTACAGCCAGTCTTCGTTATTCACAGTGGTTCTATCGCTGTGAATTATGCTTATGCTTAATCAGTGACCCCTGAATTGTTCTTATAGGAGATACAGGGTTGAGTTCCTATGTGCCTCTGGTCGTTAACACTTTTGCCAACCCATCAATACAGAACCTTTAAGTTACGCGTGTTTTCCGTTTAAAAACAGAAGTATATATTATATAGAAATATACATGTATCTAGATGACTCATTAATATTGAACTCAGAGCCACCACCAGCACTGTAACCTGTGCCTGGACGAATCGTATCTAATGCGGGTATTTTCTCTGCAAGGCACGCACAGCCTTCTCGGACTCGGGAACACCAGACAGCCCTTCAGCATCGTGTGTGGAGCCATTTTAGATAGCAATGTCAGCAACAAAAAGCACAAAAATGTGAAATCCATCCATGAATCAGCAGGCCACAAGAAGAACACCTGTTTACAACAGAGGAGTTGAAACAAGAAGGTTGGACATCGCCCTGTCTGACCCCAGCTGGGAAGGAGCACATTGTGCAATTCTCTGCCCTGTTCCCAGCTCCCCACTCCCACAGGCACAGGCTCAGCAAAGCAGGGGATGTCTCGGGCTCAGGAAGGTTTGTGGGTGGGGAGGTCATGCACAGTCCACATGTCCAGGCGCTTCACAAGTGGTATTTTGATATTTTTTTCACGTTTATTTTTTGAGAGAGACAGAGACAGAGAGAGACAGAGCAGGAGCCGGGTAGGGGCAGAGACAGAGGGAGACACAGAATCCCAAGCAGGCTCCGGGCTCTGAGCTGTCAGCACAGAGCCCGATGCGGGGCTCGAACCCACAAACCGTGAGATCATGACCTGAGCCAAAGTCCCATGCTTAACTGGCTGAGCCACCCAGGCGCCCCCACGAGTGATATCTTGAATCCTGACAGGAAGCCTGTCATTTTCAGATGAGGACACTGAGGCACAGAAAGGGAGGGGTGACCTGATTCCAAAGCCCACACTCCTTGGACTCCACACCCCCGTCTGTAGAGAAGGGAGGTTTCTCTGTCCACATCGACAGGGAAGTAGGATGGCCCGGGAGACCCAGACTTCTGGCTCCGGACAGATGCCTAACCTCCCTGCACAGGCTGCTGTGGAAATGCTCTGTGCAGGGCACAAGGGTCAGGGGGCATTTTTGGCACTTCCTAAAGATGCCCGCAAACTCCCTCCCCAGCACCGGTTATCCCCAACTTCAACTTATCCATGACACGGTGGAACGGAAACCTCATGTCAGTATCACTCAACGAAAAATCTCTACCACTTGCCAGGAAGTGAAGGCATCACACAAAAAACGAGCAAGCAAACAAACAAACAAAAACGGCAGGAAAATCAAGCAAAGACCTTCCACTCTGTTGAGATGTTGGTGCCTGCTGGAGGTTCGCGGTCCCATGTGAAAAGGGAAAAGATAGTATCACAGGATCCCAAGGAGCTAAGAGGGCAACTGCTACTTGTCGCTGACTTAAGGGATGGGAGGGAACGGAAAGGGAGCGGTTTCTCTCCAGGACGTGCAGGGCCACTCGGGGATGGAAAATTTCCCTCCTCCGCCGCCGACCTGGGGGCAAGGTCCTCTTCTCTTCTCCGCCCCCGCCCCCGTCCCTGCCTCCCGAGCCGAGACCCAGGAGCACCCCCTCCCC